TTTTCCGATTTTCTTACCCCTTCTCCCTTGTAATGCACCCTTAATGTAAACCTACACCCTCCGTTTAAATTATGTAACGCTGAACTTGACCCCCTCTCCCCCTTTTTAACGCACTGTAACGCTGGCTCAAACATTCCCCCTCTCGCCCCCGAAGTGCGTCACGTGATACTTGAACTCAAGCAGATGATTCTTGAATTTTCCGCCAAAAGTTGTTTTCATCTTGGTTCAAGCTGAATTTTCTGGGAAAAAGAAAAAAAAAGAAGCTTGGAATAAGCAAAAAAGAAGCTTGAATTAAGTAGCGTCATCCTCGATTGAAGCAGGAGGCCATATTTCTTTGCGGTAAATTTAAGATTTTTTCCCAGTAATTTTACTAATTGTAGAGACAATATATTTTAAAAATCCCACACTAAGAACTGCTGGAAGTGGCGTGTCGTGCTTTAAGATAGATCGATTAATCCGCCATCTAAATCTATCGAAGAATATTGATTATTAAGGCGTTCGCAACGAACAGCTTGATAGTCAATATTCTTTACCATAGGACCAAACAGGATTATATCGATTTTCGATAATCGCACATCGCCACTGGCTATCGGGTGAGGCAAAAGTTGAATTCAGAGGTCTACGCTACTTTTCGACTAGTGATGATGACATACTCCCTTTTTACTGAGAGGTAAGACATTAGGAATCCATTTCTAATTGGCTCTCGTATTTAGGTCTTCGCAGTGTCACAGCAAATGGGGATAAAGATTACATTTTCACAGACTGCAGATACTGCACTTCACTGCACCGGAGAATGAAGGGCGCGTCAGGGAAAAAATCGAGTGAGAGAGGGACCGGAGGAAAGGATACGGGAATGATTTGATCAAAGATTACGAAAGGCATTCGAACTGTGTAATCTTCATTCCCATTTACGACATCCATGAGCCGACTTGTCTTACCTATCCCGATAAAGGGATTCTAGCGATGACTGCTGATGAAATTGTTGATCATAAAATCAAATGAAATTCGCTAAATGATGACCGATTAATGACGGAGTACGCACTTTGGAAAGTTTTTACAAATTGAATAAGGGTTACTAAACTAATCGCTCAACTCTTGGGCCAAGAGTCATCATTTGGCGAATCCGAGGTCTCCAAACGAAATTTTGTTTGTGGCGGCACGAAGCGGCAACATCACTCCTGCAGCTGATGTTATTTTTAGGCAAAGATTCAACTATAGTTTTTTTATAATATTTTTTTTTTACATAAAACCAGCTCCCCTTTTTCCTTGTCGTGCCGATCCAATGTTGAAGTAAATGCAATTATTAACTGTCGCGATTCGTTGAGCAGATCAGTATCTTTCCATCATAAAACCGATGGCTCCTATGATTCTAACGAGCATGCATGAAATGGCAAAAATTCATGTTTCCCATGACCTATTACATCAATCGAATCAAGGCTTTTACACAGCATGCCAAAGTCTACTCTTAGCGCAAACCAAATCATTGAGTCAACGTATAACATTTTTTCCTTATAAACGTTAAGCTATTCTGTAAATTAAATTTCATACTGATTTAAAGGACAACGTTTGAAGTTACAACTCTTTTCGGCTGACTGAGAGACTTTAACGCCGAGTGAAAAAGGTATAAGCTACTAATGATGACATAACTGTAGGAATTTTTAATCATATCTAATTTGATCCAAACAATAGCCATAACATATCTCTTTCAGTGTTAACAATGAGAATAAATTTACATATATATGTATAGCTTTTCTGAGACGCAATAATCCTAATATCGTCCATTCCGCGACACGCGCAACTAGGGCTGTTGTTATTCTCGTAGGAGCTTAAGTGACAAATGATGATTAACAATGGTCTTAATGGAAAACAATTGTCGAGAAAACGCACCAAAACGTTAGATAATAAATGATTAGTGTACAGTTTTTAGGGTTAATCCAGACAAGCTGACAAAATATGATAAGGCCCGTCCAAGTGACAAATTTTTGCGTTCAGTATATGTAACGTGGACTACCGAATCGGAGCGAAAGAACCGCACAAGAAAACTTAAGTGTGAAAATTTGAAATAATAAAGAGAGATCACTTGCTTGCTAAAAATGAATAATGCAGACTGAGGTAAATGCCGTCTGGAACCGTGTCTTTTACAGGGCACTGAAAATATTATCGAAAATTTAATCAGAAGCACGGTAAATTCTTCCACGAGTCTACTTAACTAATGACACATGCTGGGATATTGGAAGGTAAAATAACCGAGCATCCGGTAGCATTTACCATGCTTTTGGTGAATGCGATTTGGGTTTCGGTATTTGCTACCGCAAAGGATTTTGGTGATTACCACATTCACATCGCTGGCGCTAACCATAAACTCACATCACTGTCACTAGAACCATATTATTTTCAATGGGAGCTGAAAATTAATCAGAAAAACTTGACAATTGGTCAGATTTTATCATCATCGGTCATCTGTGAGCCTCAGCCTCGACCATTAAAATTCGACTCTGACATGCTATGTTGCCCTATTCTCCTTTGAGGATTGAAACATTAAAGAATCCCCTTAAAATCCGGAAAAGATCCGAAACCATGCTCAATTAAAAATCACCGACATTGATGCCGATGGAGATCGCCTTATGAAACACAACCCACTAAAAAATGCATATTATATTCTTCGCTCTGGCAGCATTCAGTAAATAACTGCGAGTTAAATGACCGCGCATGCGCATGGAGGCGCTAACATTGCCTCCACCTCCTCGCGGAACAGCGCAGCGCTGCCAAATTACCGGGGAATTCCTCTATTCACGCGCGAGCTGATTAGGTTAGGAAAAAAGCTAGTTCGGAATTTTGGCAATCCCCTCGGAGCGGTCCGGTTATCCGCGGTACAGATGCACCGTGGCGCTATTCTAATTGATCTGGACCGCGGTTTGCATGCTGCATTTTTGAGCGCATCGCGCTTAATTGCGTCCGATCTCTGTTTATAGTTGCTCTTTCGAGGAAAAACGCGTGGAAAACATTCAAATCATATCGCAGTTCATTTTGCGCTACCCTCGCCACCACAAGAAACTATTCAATAATCATGCCCACAGTGGCGAGTATGCTCCATTTAAATAACAAGACCGATTCAGGTAAGGCAAGCTGCCTTATCAAGAATCGATTTTTTTCTATACATTTAAATGGAGGAAAAACAGTGTTGCCAACATGTCAAAATCACACTTACATGACTACAAAATGCTGGCCTTATCGAAACAAAATTAAGGTCAAGTGATGACACAATTTTCAAAATCGATTTTTGGCTTCAATAAAGGCTTTTTTGTTCTATTTAGTTCCCTCAAAAAATCCCCATCCTCAAAAATACTGCCTCTTCAAGTTTGGGCCAAAAAAAAGTGTTTTTCCTTGTTATGACAACACTAGAAAAAAGTCTCTTGGATCCAGAGTCGAGAATTTTGAATACTTTAACAAGAAAAAATACTTTCGATTCAATCGAATTTTTGCTTGAATCGAGAGCGAAGCCTCTTTAGCGGATTTCCTTTTGATTCGAGTAAAAATCCGATAGAATCAACAGTATTTATTCTTGCCAAATTTGTCAAGACTGGACTCGAGAGTGAGAACTTTCGATGATGCAATGGAAAGAATGAAGCTGACACTCAACCAGCAGTGTTGTCGGTGAAATTGTCGTGCCGCGGTCTCACAAAATCAGTAGATCACAAGACGAAAGTGTAAAGATCAGTGGTGACTGTGGTTGCCGATGTGAGATTTGTCTTCCAACCTCCCCGCGGAAACATGCGTAATTCGGGCGAATTTTAAATTAAGTCAGACAACTCCATTCGCTGATGAACCGGTGGTGCCGCTGACCTGAGGCCGAATTTTGCTGATCGTGATCCGGTGACCCTGACCGGAACTTTGTCGTGAAAGTAGTCTCGCTCTCCCTCCTGATATTATATTGGAATATGTTAGACAAACCTATCGTGGCTATAAGAACGGCTAGATCAACTGCGGGCTCATTATTAAAATTGCCAGACAAAGCTATAGACAAAGAAAAAAGGGAATGAAGGAAGCTATCCTTATCCTTATTGGTTGAAACGGGTGGTTCTCATAAACGACGGGAGATGATGGTGGTCGAACTATAGAGTTCCAAGACTAGGGCTAATCATTAAATGAACGTATTCATGGTTGAAGGAACTATGTTGTACGCAAAACCTATGCACATAGTTCCTTTTAGCATGAATACGTCCAAATGATCTTANATACATACATACATACATACATATAGTTAGTTATTATATTTTTGAGACATTCAGCGACTCAGGCTATTAACGTCTTTACAGGTAATTTTGAAAATATATAGGAGTATAAACGAAAATTTAGATTTTTAAATTAAGAGAGGTAAAGAGTTTCAGAATTTTGGTGGCAATATTAGGTTCATCGCATGTAAGAGGGTTTGTATTTCTGTTGAATGAAGGGGAGTAGATCTGTGATTGGAGATGTCGGAGGGAAGAGCAGTCCATAAGTATGTGTTTGATACATATATACATACATATATATATACACATGAATTTGAATAGCATATATTTTCGTGATCTACGACCCGTGATCGGTGCTCTTCACAATGTCTCAGGTCTGGGTCCGACATCATGGGAGAATGCAATAGTGTATTTCCTTCGGAAAATACACTAAACAAGGGAATGAAGGAAGCTATCCTTATCCTTATTGGTTGAAACGGGTGGTTCTCATAAACGACGGGAGATGATGGTGGTCGAACTATAGAGTTCCAAGACTAGGGCTAATCATTAAATGAACGTATTCATGGTTGAAGGAACTATGTTGTACGCAAAACCTATGCACATAGTTCCTTTTAGCATGAATACGTCCAAATGATCTTAGGAGCTTTTGAATTTACTGCCTTCTCGTTTGGATCATCCAATATTCCGTCTCTTTTATTTTCTCGCTCTAGGTCCACACTATATAAATTTTTTCTTGGAGTGCAAACTGACAGATTTCTTTTTTTTCAGCTCAAAATGGCAATTCTGGAAACAAAGGCGATACTTGGTGGCGTTCCTAGCTTTCCTCGGATTTTTCAATGTATACACGTTGAGGGTGAATTTAAGTGTCGCTATAGTTGCCATGACGACCGGGCAAATTTTAAAAGAGAAGTTGGAGAACGGAACCACGGTCATCTCTACCATGGTTCGTGGTAACTATCATTCCAGTATACTTTATCATACTATGCCAAAATTTAGCCATTGATAAGTCGTTAGAAGAGGAGACAATCAGGCTTTCAAAATTCTGACGGACCCTGTGGCTAATCTTTCTAAATCTGATAAAAATGGCATCATGTCCCAAATACTGTAGTATTCAATTCTTTCTGTATGATCCCACGATATCAAGTGGGTGACAAAACGGTAGGTGGTACCCTTCTATCAATAAATCGGAATCAACAAAGTACCAGTAGAATATGAACATGCGACACAGTATTTTAGCAATCAGTCGCAGGCGAATAGTAAAATCGGAATTTTGTCAAATGCCTAGGCAAATAGTTAAGTATTTATTCTTACTTGGATTGAAACCCTGATTTTTTCCCTAATTTTAAACAAAATAATTCATTGCTCAAAAATTTGCATCATACGATAGCATTTGAAACGAGTTTTAGCTCCTGAGCGAACATTATTTTTGAAATTTTTACCATGGCATGAAACTCAGAATTTTTTAAATGTTTAAATTCAACTATATATGAGAAGCATTTGAAGAAGAAGGGACAATGAGAGTTCGTAGATTTGAGAGGTCATTATTACAAAATATTGCAAACTCGTGAGCTCTTCACGATAACTCAAGAAAATTTCGTAAAAGTGTCGAAAATTTGACCATCTGCCAATGCCTGAACAACTAATTGCCCGAGGAAAAAATATAATACAGGAATGATATCAACACGATACCCTGTATTATATCCAATAAAACGAGTATGATATCTCTGCCGTCCGAAGGAAAAACGCTGTATCGTCATTCAACACTTTTCCAATTTTTCCCTGACAAAATCCTGTTTTAAAAAAAAAAAAAAACCTAACAAATATTCACCCTTCATTTTTTCAATGAAACTGCGCCACACCATTAGTAACGAAAAATGAGAAAATGAAGCCTCGTGGCAATTGGATTTTCTTGTAAAAAAGCAGTACGGAGTACGTGCTGGGAAGAAGGGGAAAAAATTGAATGGAGTTACGGCGTTTTTGGTGTGGACGGCAGATCTGAATGTTATGTCCCCGACGAGTTGTGCGAGTATGCGATTGTCCCGACTTACTTTCGCGAAAACTTCTCCGTGGAGTATCATGTCCTGTACTCCTGATGAGAGGGTTTATCAACTCTCTTCGGGGTATCACGACTCTAAGGCAACGCTCCTCTCCCGTCACGATGAGTGAAAGAAATCGATCAAGCCTCGGCACTTTCAATTAAGAGGAAAAATTGAATTCCTCCCGAGCGCCCTCATCATCAAAGTGTAATTAAGAGACTGTGCTACGGGAAACAGCAGTAAGTGAATTCTGAAATGAGCCATGAAGCTCATAAGAATACACGCTTACCATGGCTCTTACCTACTTACTGCTGTCTTCCGTGGCACGATCATCGTATGTCACGAGAGTCAACCCGTTCGGCGAATCACCGCGGGGCTTTTTGTTTCTAATCTATGTGACATAACCCAGCTACTCTTTAATTATTAATTATCAATCAATAGGGAGCTCAGTGGGAGCCGCCAATCCACCTGCGGCGAGTCGCATTGTTTTTTAAAAGTTTTTAGTTGCGTGATGAGATGGATTTGACGCTTAGAGCGAAACTCTTTGACGCGATCATAGTATTGAGAATGAAGACGTATTGGAAATAATTCCTCCTGTCAACACGTATTATTCATTGACGATGAAGTTTCTTCGATGTCAAAAAAGTGCGATGCTGAGAAAAAAGCCTCAACTTCAGAATAGTTCGAGACTTAGGTGGGGGCCTTGAAAAGTAAAGCTAACAATAATTGTTTTACGTTCCTATCCTCCCGATCAATTCTAGTAGATTAAAGTAGACGATGACCATTTAAAGCATTACGCTCATCTTCCGGTCGCGGATAAGGAGATTAGTATTAAAAATAGCCAAGCGCGTGTTCTTATCCACACTTTGCATAAACGTGTTGACATTATTGTTCTTTATGCAATTTTAAAGTTTTTGAGTATTTTTATCGATTTCATTGCTTTTCAATCGTTTATGACGAGTAGCGCGTAGCTAATTTTAATAGGTACTAGTCTCCTTATCCACGACCTGAAGATGAGCGTCACACTCGATACGGCCATCACTTAATTTAACATACGAAAGGTGAAGGGGAGGATACCAAAGGCATGGTGTATTTTACGATAAATCGATTGATCTGTCATTTGAACCTATGGAAAAGTATAGATTAACAGCGTGTTTGCAACGAACACCTGAATGTTCGATTCTTCACCATAGTTTCAAACGGGAGAAAATCGACAGTCGATCAATCACGCCACGCTGCTGAATCAAGATAACTATCATTATGTGTGTTGTTTGTCAAGCTCTCGAATACTGAGCGGATATTGATCACAAACAAGTATGAAAGATTCGTCAAAAATTAAAACAAACAGCAATAACTTGAGTAATTTTGGTCGATCTGGGTCTAAAAGTCGACAAGAATCAGATTTCAATCCAGGATTTGTAACAATGCAGTTTTCAGGCTATCCGATTGATTGACTTCATTTTTTGTTTGTTGCACAGCCAAAAGAATTTGACTGGGACTCAAAGCTTCAAGGGTTGATCTTGAGCTCATTTTTCTACGGCTACATCTGCACTCAACTGTTCGGCGGGTGGCTTGGTGCGCGGATTGGAGGCGCTCGCGTCTATGGAGTTGGAGTGGCAGTTACAGCGCTTCTCACCCTGATCACTCCACCTTTGGCGAGGTTGAATGTCAACTTCCTCATCGCCCTAAGGATTATAGAGGGATTATTTGAGGTGAGCTATACTTCAGATGGTGGCAAGCCACCATCTGAAAATGAATTACAATTTCTACAATTCTTGAATGCAATGAATTACGATTCTTACAATTATGAAAACAACAGAAAAGGGAATAGTGTTGAAAGAAATAACAACTATCATAAAAATTATATCAATCAGGACGAAAGCCCTATTTGCAATAACCCAAACTAACTTAAAAACCGTACTATTAGCTATAACTATGTTAAATAGCTATGTTTATTTGTTTTAATAGCTTAAACCAATAAAATATAATAATACTGAAGTTATTAGGATAATTTAGAAATTTTAAAACAGCCAGCTTAATTGAAATTATTTAGTTTAAGATGAAACACTATCTTTTCAGTATAGAGATAAATAAAATTTAGTGTAAAATAACCAAGGTTATTTTGCATGCATGAACGTACGCTGAAAAACAAGTTCGGTCGATTATATCGTCGCTCCTTTGACATTGGAGCGTATCTCAATTTACTCGAGAGCCCTGAAAGACATGAAGTTATACGGAGAACAAAGCTCATATGGAAATTGAGATACTTGATTACATCAGAGGGACGACGACACGAGCCGAACGTTCGGAGTTCCCTATCGATTGAACCAAATCGGTTTGTCAAAGCGACACATTGGTTTTTCCCTGAAAAAAAGTTGGGTCGTATGAATCAAACGTTCCGTGTACCATATTATCCCAGTTATTCGGTTTGTCAAACAGAACTTTCGATTTGTGTAACCGAACATTCGGTTCAAATGATCGCACTTCGTTCGTCAGCTCACTCTACCGTTGAAGTTCGGTTGCACGAAATTTGGTTAACTTGGAAAAATATTCGATAGAATGGCACTTTTTGGAGCCCTGGGAATCTGCAAAGGCACGTGAAGTACATATTCCGTGCTTGAAGTCGCTTCAAAGGTTGCCACTGAGAAATTTATGTAAGCTCAGAGCTCGCGCGGATTAGAGTACCTTTATAGACAGAGTATGGCCATTCGTATCTTTTTACTACAGGAAAACTGTTCCGCTTTTTGATTGGTCAACGAGTTTTTAGGCTTCATGATGCTCTTAGGGCCGTAAATAAACAAACAAGATGGCGGCTCACCGTAACATCGATGAGAAGCTAAATTTGACAAAAATTTCAATTATGCGGCAGTAACAATTTTAACGAGCATATCTACGAATAGCACACGAAAAACACATGAAAACATCGTTAAATTGCCTTTCACCTTTATCACAGGAGGATGTAAGATGTGCATAACCTCAATCTTGCTTGCTGATAACGGCCATCTTGTTTGTTTATTTACGGCCCTAAGAGCATCGTGTCAGCCTATTTGCTCGCGACCAATGAAAAACCGGAACAGAAATGGCCATACTCTGTCTATAAAGGTACTCTAGCGCGGATGGAGGAGGACTCGGTAGATGGTGCTTCGTGGCGGGGCTATGAGGAAATCATTGACCCCGGTTTAAACTGCGACCCCTTAGAAAGCGAGAGTCAAGCTTCTCCTCGCCGAGGACAATCGAGTCGCCGACACCGCTGACATGGAGAGTGACTCGTCCACGCTTTCCATTTCTACCGGGCGAATAACACGGAAACGACACCAGCTCACGATATCTCTCTCGTCCGCTCGACAGCTCAGACAAAAGATCTTTCGCCGGAAGGGATATGTTTTCGCCACTTTTTTGGATACTGAACAATCGAGAATTCGCACGGAGATTTTTATCCCTTCCTCGGAGAGAGCTTAAAAATACGATTTTGCAGTTTTTTTGTGATTTTTTGCCGGTATGGAAATAGTATAAATAGATTTAATAGTGAGGAAATCAACCGTCTAGTGACGTCATCTGACTGCATTTCCAATTCAACACATGTATTTTAGCGGATCTAATCATCTGTCATGTCTCCTTAAGTAATATTTAAATTTATGAACCACGGCTATCCTCGTGTTTAGTTCATTTACCGAATAGTTTCTACTGAAACACCGAATTCATCAATTTTCAGACAACTGCAAATTCTCCCGTGGGAAGTTTCAAATTAACTGATTAAAAAACCTGGACATGAAGAGGGTAGCCTTGTATAATAAAAGACAACTCTTACTTAAAGGTATAATAAATAATAAAAGGTAAAAGATCGAATTGCTTAGGTAAATTTTGCAACAGTGGAGATACATTCCATTTTATGGGCCCCGACGCGACGCACAGCGCGGCCCTCTGTGGACAAAAATAAAAAATTCGTCACAACTCGACAACTGATTTTTTTTTTTTGAGTTTGTCACCGTAAAGATATTCCTGATAATAATGGTTAATCTTCAAATTTTTGCGCTCAAAATTAGTTCCAATTTGGGTAGAAAATGGGCGAGAAATGGGCCGAGAATCACTTGTCCATACGAAATACACGGGAAAACGACGTCAATTTCAGATGAAGATTTCTCGCTTGAAACGTAAAATGCTCCAGGTGGTTGACATTTTCTTAATCCTCAGATATCCAACTTCAATTCCATCAAAAGGATTTTGCGATTTCTTGCGACTATTAGAGGTATATTTGGAGTTAAAGTTTGGGTGTTTCACGTTGCTTTTACATTCTTAATATATAATAAGCTAATTCGAGGTTGCCAACTTCAAATGAACTTCTCTCGAAAAATACGCAAAAAATCCTGAGAAATCACATTTTCTTCTTCCTCTAGTGTTTTTCTTTGATAAAGCCAAAGGGTTTTCCTATGTAAGGGTTTTCCTATGTCGGTGCTACTATCTTCAATATTTAAAGTTAAATGTCTTTTACCGATTTTTGTTTGCATCGTCCATGAGGATGCCGCACTGTGCGACGGCTTGGGAAGGTCGATGAAATGGACTAAGTTTAGGACTGGCCATCAAGGCCATCCACTGGCCATCACTTCAAGGTCGATCAAATGAACTGAACCTTTAACTGGACTACATTTTGCAATCAGGGACTACAATAATTCATAAAAACACCCATTTGCATAGAGAAACTGAAAGCACGTATGATGTTTTTAAAATGAGCTAGAATTTGCGGCTCTTTATTGGAAACTGTAATCCAACAGGACTGCATGTTGCATTTTGAAACCACAACATCGGGCTCAATTTGGATACGACGCATCTACCATCAGTGCCCCTATGCTTATGAGTATTTTTTACGGATGGGCTAGAAATTGTAGTTCCTAGCTTCTTACAAAATGTAGTTCAACTGTAACTCCATGCGTCCGCGCCCCCGTCAGAATTTGATCAGAAAACCAAAATTCTGGTTCCAAAATGTTCCACCTGCGTTAAAAATGTTATTTCAACGCAGGTAAACAGTGAAGCAACATTATAATTCCCGAAAAAAAGAACATTTGAAATTGAGTGTTGACAAGAATGTATACAGCTCTGAACCTGAGGGCTGGAATATCGTAGGTACCCTCGATTCACTATAACTTTCATCCGAAATCATCCGGTAGAAAGTAAGTCAGATCCAATTTACTCCGTTGACAAATCGCAGTCGGCTCCAGCTGTGTGGAGAGATTTCCAGCTGATTCTGAGTCATCGAAAAGTGTTTGACCGATTCGATTGGAGTCTCAAAACAAAACCGGTTGCCTCGGGCCGAACCGATGCACCGAAACAGAGGGCATGAAGCTCGTCACTCTTTCGGTTCGTGAGAGACTGGTTTTCAAAGACGTAATCATCTCTCTTATGCATTAATCGAAGATTCCCTCAGATGGACTTTCTAATTTTGGCTGTTTTCGTATGCAAGTGACATTCCCATGGAATGTCAAGATGATATTAAAAAAATATTGTTCAATATAAAGTCGGGAGGAATGGTTCCACCTGCTATAGCGGGCGCGCTCAAAAGCCAAAAACTTGGTTTTATGGTTTACTTTTCTACCGCTCGTTAAAGTCTCCGAACTTGGGAAGGGAAATATAAGACCGATATGGGCGGGAAAAAATGTAATTCTCTTGTCTACACTGAGAACCGGCACCTCCTCAGAATGGCCCCCAAATCAAGATCGCCCCCTATTTTTTTCGATGCCTGTCCACTTTTGGCAAATGAGAGCTCAAAGCAAAAACAAACACTCAGATGCCCAAGAGAAAAAAGTTTTCCCCGAGTTGGAAAAGGTGTTAAAACCACCTTTTCCAACTCGGGGAAAAATACAAAATCGACAAAAATGAAAGTACCTGGATTTTTGTTGACGATAACAGGCGAGGACTCATCTGTCGCCCACTTCTCGTTTCCAGGAAATTAAAGTGTTTTATTTTTTGTTAATTTTACTTTAAATTTTTAATTTCCGGATCAAAAATTGCAGTTTGCTATTTTGAAACCTCTCAGATATATTGCACTGAAAAAAAAAAAAAAAAAAAAAAAAAAAAAAAAAAAACCATTGGATCTAGAGCTCAGACTCTTGAAAACATTGACAGTAAAAAATTTTCTTGATTCAATCGGATTTTTGCTTGAATCAAAACGAAATCCGCTTAAATTAAGAGGCTTGGTTCTTGATTTAGGCTAGATTCTGATTGAATCAAGAGTACTTTTTCTTGTCGATGTTTTTAAGAGTCTGGACTCTAGATCCAATGTGCTTTTTTTCCAGTGTGATATTTGTTTTGACTTTGTTTACTCATTTTATTTTGAAATTGGACGTATTTCTATCAAACGGAACCAAGCGCCACAGGAAGGAAGGGAGGGGGGGGGCTTGGATTGGCGGGTGTTGCTCGTTCCATCCTATACTCGCAATGCTTTTTCATGGCACTTAGTTCCGTTTGACAGAACGCGCTATCCGGCATTCTAAATTCCTCAGATGGAACTCAAATTGGCGCTTAGTTCCGTCCAATTGGACGTACATTTCTGCCAAACATAACTATTAACATGAGCCCTGTTATGCACATATTCTCATGGGTCTTAGGACTCATGTCATAATGCGCATAGTTCCGTTTGGCAGAGGTACGTCTAGTTGTTCGTCTGCCTAGTCCATTATTGAGATTGCTTTGATTAAATTCGTAGATTGATAATTTGATTGTTAAATTTGTTCCTGCAGGGTGTGACATATCCATGCATCCACGCCGTCTGGTCTCAATGGGCGCCACCCATGGAGCGAACGCAACTTGCCTCCGTCGCCTTCTCCGGGAGCTTCGTCGGGACGGTCGTCGCTTATCCCGTTTGCGGCTTCTTAGCTGATAAGTTCGGATGGTCCGCAGATTTCTATATCCCAGGTACGTCATTTTATCCCACAGGGGACATTGGCCGATCCAGGAAATGGAGATGCTGCATGTGTGAGGAATTTGCGATTTGACAATTGGTTCTCATGTAAAAGTTTGCGAGATACACGATGGTCCCACTGGTTTTATCTTAAATCAACTCAAGCTCAAAAAATCTCTTAAAGTTGAGGGAGTAATGGAGGGGATATCCCACGCTACCCTGAGAGTCCACCTCTACATCAAGACAAACTCTCCATGTAAAGATAGGGAGCAAATACATTGACAGGGCTGCCACTTTATTTAGGGACTCTTAAAACTGGAAATACGGCAACCGCGCAACCCTGCTAATGTATTCGCTACCCATGGAGAGTTTGTCTTGATGTAGAGGTGGACTCTTATGGTAGCGTGGGATATCCCCTCCATTACAACATTCACTTTGAGAGCGTTTTTTGAGCTTGGGAGTTGATTTCAGAGAAAATCAGTGGGACCATCGTGTTTCTCGCGAACTTTTACATAAGAATCGATAGTCAAATCGCAAATCTGTTTTTGAAAAACAGTCTCGCTAGACGCATGTCTGCTATCTAACAGGTTCGCACAGGTGACATGAAAAATATGAAATATTGAAAATTTCCGTGAAATATTTCATGAAATTTCACAAATTTGTAAAAAATATGAAACATAATTTTAGGGGCTGGGTATGCAACACGCACAAAGAAACAGCAAAAAACAAACACCAGTCGCCTTCCATTTAATTTTGAGTTTAATTTCGAAAAATATTTTTCAATATTTGTCATATTTTTTGAAATTTCAAGATTTTATTTTTCATTAAAAATTGAAATCCTGCTTTCAAATGTAATACGTTCATTATGATTTTCAGGTCTCGTTGGATTGTTCTGGGTTCTGGTTTGGCTGACTGTCGTTCGAGACCGACCGGAAGACGATCCGTACATTTCGAGTGAAGAATTGAAGTACATTCAAGACACTCTTGGTGATACTTCCGATAAAAAGGTAAAATCAATCCCAATACTAAAACCAATTACCATACATTTCTCACGCTCCAAACGCACCAATTTAAAGTGTGTAAGTGCGATGCGACGCAGTGCATTTTCCATACGAATAAAATGAAGATTATTCATCCGCTTGACGGTTAATATAATGTTTGAACATGGAAATCAAGATTCGTTTACCGCTTTCTCCAGAAGCGGACTACATCGCCAATCAGATCGATCTCAGTAGGCGAATTTTCCTGAGAGAATTTGGTCGGTTTTTTCAATCGGATTGGCAGTGTTACAAACCGAATGAGAAAAACGCTCTGCTGAGGTCAAGAACTAGATTCAGTCGTTCGAAAAATTTTGGCCAACTTTTGCATCCGTCCACCACAATGCTCTTGAAGCAAAAAAAAAAAAATCGACAAAAATGTACCCAAAAATCTTTTGCAGGGAGTGAATCTATGGTACGTGCGGACTTAAAATCGTGAAAAATCAAAATCTTAAATAAAGGACTCTCTTTGAGAAATTTTGGCATCAACAAGGGATGCACACAAAATCGCACATATTGCCGCAATATATATGGTTCACTAAAAAATAGTTCACTTGCCAATTTGTCACAAAATTAAGATATTTTATATTTGAATTTTTCTCCTTAGGTGCCAGTGCCATGGAAAAATATCGTCACGTCAATGCCTGTTTGGGCCATAGTTTGTGCTCACTTTTGTGAAAACTGGGGCTTTTACACACTGCTGACTCAACTTCCAACATTCATGAAAGGTATATAATTTTTCTCAGGTTTCCATAGAGTGCGTTCTAATTTCATCTCAATACTGTGATTAGTGGGAGAGAATTCTGAAACGCAGAAAAATATGCACCACAGCCGTGTGACTTTAAACTTGGCGTTCTTGTAGTCAAGCACGCGAGACCATTGAGACCAACTTTAAGAACCACCCTTGTCCAAACCCTCGCCCGGGGTCAGCCAATGTCTGCAACGGCGCAAAGAAAAGGTGGACCGGCCGAGCGATTTCAATCTTGGCTATTATGGAGCACACTTGGACGTATTTCTGCCAAACGGAATTACGTGGATTATGGCGTGAGCCTTGTTACGCATATATTTATTATGGGTATTAGAGCTCATGTCTTAACGCAGATAGTTCCGTTTGGCAGAATTACGTCCACTTGAGGGACACCATCGAGAACAACTTTAACTGGTGCTGCCAACCGCGTAGAGCAATAGTGCACCAGTCCTGCGATTTCAATCTTGGCTATTATGGAGCACACTTGGACGTATTTCTGCCAAACGGAATTACGTGGATTATGGCGTGAGCCTTGTTACGCATATATTTATTATGGGTATTAGAGCTCATGTCTTAACGCAGATAGTTCCGTTTGGCAGAATTACGTCCACTTGAGGGACACCATCGAGAACAACTTTAACTGGTGCTGCCAACTGCGTAGAGCAATAGTGCACCAGTCCTGCGATTTCAAACTTGGTGTTAATGTAGCCCACTGAGGGGAGACGATGGAGAACAATTTTAGGATCAACCTGTGCTACATGTCTTGTCTTTGGGCAGCGGATGGTGCCCACCGCGAAAATTGAGACTGCATCAGGCGTGCAATTGCATTCATTTCATTAAGAGAGCGTCCAGGTTGGGGCATTCTGAATAATTTTAGGAACCCTTCTTGTCCACTCCCTCGTCCGGTATCAGCTACTGCAGCCAACCGCGCAAAGTGAGACTGCACCAGCCGTGCGATTTCATAGCTGGCGTTTAAGGAGCTTAGGGGTACAAATGAGAACAATTTTAGAAACACATAATGCCTACAGTCTCGTCCTGGGTCAGCTATTGCTGCAAACCGCGTAAAAGGCAACTTCATCTGGCAGGCCCAGTCCCAGTCCCAGTCCCAGTCTTTATTGAACGGCCTTCATGTGTATGAAATTGGATCAATTTTTGCAAATTTAAAGGTGTATCTTAAAAAAAAAGTTTTATCTTTCAGATACGTTGAATTTCAACCTGGCTGAATCTGGATTTTTATCAGCCCTGCCGTACCTCGTTATGGCCCTGGTAATGCAGAGATCTGGTTACCTAGCTGACTGGGTTCGGTCCACTCATTTGACCACTACGCAGGTATATTGTTACATCTTGCTCCTAATTAATAGTATTACAGTTGTCAATTCTGTATAACCTGCAATAATACCAAAGCATTATTCCGCAGCTAACAAATGCACCAGCTATTGTTATAAAAATTAGAGATGTGCGTTTCTTGCATGTAAAATTCTACCGGTTACATCTGGTTGCAAGTGTTTCGCTCAAAATAAATGCGAAATTTTACTCTGGAACTTCAAAACTGCTATGATTTATGCTTAGACTACGGTTGAGCTGTACTAATTGTTTGATCAATTTGGAAAAGTTAGTTTCCATTGAGACTAAAGTTAATTCGGACATATTCGTGCTGAAAGGAACTATGGGCATAGGGATTGCGTGTTACATAGTTCCTTTTAGCATCAATACGTCCATTTAACGTTTGAAATTTTGATGAAAATATTTCTTTCATAAAAAAAGAAACGGGAGAAGAATGAAAATCTTACTAGCGAGCATACGTTTTAAACAGGACAATTTTTATGAACTTGGGGGTTTAACCCTCTGACCGCTTCGCAGCCCAACCTCCTCAAAGGCCTTTGCGCATCAGGCGTTATGCCTTACGCGTTACCTGTATGATTTTATAATATTTAACTTTACATGAATATGCTTCTTTTCAGACGAGAAAACTATTTAACTGCACGGCTTTCATAAGTCAGACAATTTTCATGTTTGCTGCTTCCTACATGACAGCCCCTGCTGGTGTCATTTTCTGTTTGATCATGGCCGTTGGACTAGGGGCCTTCGCTTGGTCAGCTTTCAGGTATAACACAATTCTATCTAAATTCATCTTAGATATATATTTCTAAATCGTCCGCCCTCTGAACTTTCAACGCCAGTGTTGAGAGAATCTGGCACACGCACACGATTAAAGCGGAATTATTTTTGATTAATTTACCATTGAAAGTAAATAATGGTCTTTGATGCTTTCCAAAAATGGTATTTTTGATCGCTTTCTACGTGACTTTATTCAAGAATCTTGACAGAAGCGAGTTTTTAAAAAGTCAAACAACGCAAGAATATTTGCAAATTAACGGTAAAATAACTCATCTTTTGCCACTAAAAATTTGAAGCCACCAAAATTTCCATCATAGACATTTTATCGGAAAGCACAATTTAATGAATTGCGAAATTTAGAACTTTTTACGAGATGGACCTTATAATTACCCTGGATTTATAGGATTCAATTGCTTTCCTGTCACTTGAAGATTCATAAAAATTGTGAAACATTAATTATTTGAAAATATTTTTCAAAAGAAAAAAAAAAACTTCGAACATCAGACCTATAACCTACATCATATCGCGTTGATATTACTCGAGTTTCCTGGTTTTTTTTTTTTTATCGTGGAATATTCAATGATAAAAATGACTTTTCGGTTATTTTCATGTTCTCACTTTTTCAAACGCCTATTAAATAAATCTAACATAAAAAGTATTCCACATTAAATCTAATCAATCGATAAAATGCATCAATAGTGTTAATTCATCTTTAGCTAAGATTCGATTTGTTGTTCTTTTTCCAGCGTGAATCACCTTGATATTGCCCCCCAATATGCCAGTTTATTGATGGGTTTTTCAAATACTTTTGCCACGATACCAGGAATAATAAGTCCTATGTTGGCGGGATATCTAGTCCAGAACAAGGTATACTATAGTTTAGGATGTATATTAACCACCATTGAGAACTTACATACTCATATGGAATAACTGCCTGTAATCTTCGATTCGATCAAACGATATCAGAAAGAAGCTTTGCTGGAACTTCTCGCTACATCGAAAATGTCTGAGGACGTTGAGTTTTCCAAGGGGAAAAAAATCTAAATTTTTGCTTGAGCCTGTAAAGTATGGAATTGCACGATTGAAAGGTTCCATTCCAAAGTGAAATTATGCTCTCATATCAGCGCAGAAGTGTCTTACTTTCTTATGCAGCGTTAAAGTCACTGAAGTTGCACCCTTCGAAAGCGTTCAGCCTCGTAATATTAATAGCGGTCCGTGAATTGTTGCGCCCGGTAAGAGCGCTGATTGCGGGAGGAATAAATAATATACTCCAGAGCCATGAAATCGAGCAATCCTTTTATAATGTCAAAAACTTTAATTCAATCAGGCACACTGGTTCTAAACGTGAACGAGATGTGAAGTGACATAAATATACAATAGCTGAAGGGGTTTAGTGCTGCACTACTTGGTGCAAAAAGAACCTGAAATTCCGAAAATAGATGCTTTAAGAGTATTTTTAAGTTCAAAAAAGATAAATTGCAAATTTCAGAAAAACCCAAAAAATGTTCGTTGACACTACTGCCAACTTTGAGAAAAGTGCATCTTAAGTGGTCAGAAATCAATCGATTATGCGACTAAAAATAGCTAGCTTTTTAAATATTCAATTGCCGTGCTAATTAAAAACGCCACATGAGCCTTCAGAAGCTGCCATATTTCCTTTAATAAAACATAAATTATCAGGGCAATCTGTGGATGTTTTTCTTCGAATTCGTCAGAGAAGTTTATCCGCGATCGGATCTTAACTATCCGCAAATTTCAAGAGAAAATATTCATAACTCTCCTCAAAAATAAACCTTTTATCGGAGGAAATTCGTCAATATTTATACGGCATTTTTTCTTAGCACGGCGGCGCAGTGCAAAATATGGATTCGACCGGAATCAGTCTAACTACATCAGACGTTGCATAATTTCCTCTGATGCTCATAATAATCAAGGGAAAATTCACAGAAAGTTTGAAGACGTTGAGTAGCCCAGCCATCTGTTTAAAAAAATAAAACACGGTAAGTGAGAAACATGAGGGAACGTGAAATATATTTTTGTCCAAAAAATGGTGACATTTTCATCGGTTGATGAAGAGCTTAGAGTTTGACTCATTGTTCTGAAGAATATTAGAAAACGTCATAAACTGAAAATCGAGAATTTTTGGCAATAATCCATCTATTAACAAGACAAAAACACTAAACATATGACTGAAATGTATGTCACAAGGTGGTAAAATAGGACTGGATCCACGCGATTTTGCGGGGAAAGCTAGGCCAAAAGTTTCGAAATATTTCAATTAGGATCAAAAATTTGAGTTATAATGCCTATCTGAGCTGCCTCTACTTGAGCTAGACAGTCTTGCACCGATACTCACTAGAGCTCAAATGTTTTACTCTGCTTGAATTTGTCTGGCTTCCTTTCTCCGCAAAATAGCGTGAATCTCGCACTATTTTACCTTCTTGCTCCATGTATTTAGCTGTGCTGAAAAATTTTAGTACCTATATTGGGGCCTTACTTTGCCTGATTCCATCGCAATATCGTATAAGATTTGAATACGTATTATTAAGAGGGCTGATTTCTGCCAGTGGCGTGTCGAGCATTGCGATACATCGATGTATCTGCCATTTAAACCTGTGGAAAAGGGTCGATCATCAAGGTGTTCACAATAAATACCTTAGAGATTGATTCTTCACCGCAGATTTAAACGGGAAAATTTTGATAGCTGATGATTCACGCATTGCCACCGATCTCTGCATACTGTGTGTACTTCCACTGGTTCTAAACGGGTTTTTTCCCCTAGTGTTTCATAGAACAGCCTTCATTGTAATTCTGATTTTGTCTGTCAAACAGCAACCATCGGAGTGGCAGAACGTGTTCCTTATTGCCAGCGGGATTTATCTATTCGGGGCCATTTTCTACGGGATTTTCGCTGATGGCGAGATTCAACCCTGGGCCATGGACGAGAGCACGGTACAGAAACATAATTCTAACTCGAAAGACACCGAGAAACAACAATCCGAGTCTAAAATGACCAAGTACACGGTCAACCCGCCAACGTCATACACGAATCCGGCCCTGAATACCCAAGAATAAGCCATTCATCTCATGGAATTTTCAGTAGTCACCATGAGAGGACCCGACGTATTTGACTGAAAGGCTCATGATTGTTAGACAAAGTTTCCGGTGAAATGGCGCTTTGGGTCGGATCGATGAGGCAGTCAGTGGGGTGTTCAATCTCAAACGAAGACTTAAACGCAGATAAAAGACAATAAGAACTAAACAAAGGCAACTTTATTTTGTTAAACTTATGAACTTTGCTTTAAAGAGGGATCCCAAAAAAAAGTTTTGTAGAGATTACGTTCGCGTCTATGGAGACTTAATTACATTTTTTTCTGATCAAAATTTGAACAAAAATGTGAAATAACATCACAACAGCACGTACCTTAAGAAAAAGTCCTCACAGGTGGAAGAATTTTTAATTTTTTTTTTGATAATGTTGAGTGGATTTCCAAAGTAAAGATGTCATAATATTCATTAATCTTTCGATAAAGTTTGTCTTTTTCACCATATCGCCCGACATACACTTTTCCGTTTTTTGTGATTTTTTGCGACGAAAAAATACGCGGGAAGTATTTTTATCCTATTTCAATTCCTTAAATTTGGATAATTTTTCCAGGTGATAAAAGAGTTCATAAGAGAAAAAAGTTGGGAAAATTTGTAATTTTCTTACTTACAATTGGTGCTAGTTTATTCATTTTCTACTTGAGAGATAAACGAAAGAAGTGCGAATAATGAACTAGATCATGCACGATTAATGTGAAGGAGTATTAATAAAATACTTCTGATTGAGGCTCCTTCGGGGAAATTTTATCATATCGCTTTATAATCGTGGGTATATTCAATGATCATGGGGATACCATGACAGCTTTTTAATTTTAGAGATTCATTTTTGGCGATCTATTTTTTCCCCTACCGTGAAGATTTTTTTTTTTTAAATTTGATTCGCTTTGGCCCCAAAAATACTCAAAAATCTGCCCATGTGACTGCAAACTACGTTGGAAGCATTTATTTGTAACCTGCATTAGGCTGTGATATTTTGTAAATAGATAATTAAAAGTAGGACAGAAAATACTCGACTCACCATTTGTGAGGGTATTCAGAGATTGTGTGATCATTAAACAGAAAGCTAAGTAAAATCACACGTTTCGTTTTTTAAGAGGTTTTAAAAAGTTATTGAAAGTACTTTAGACTAGCAAAGAAACATTAGCTTGACGTCCCTTTAATAATTCTTGACACAGTTACTTCATCAACACGTTAAGTGACACATATTTGCGTCCCGTTCCACGAGATTCTACAATTTTTTTGTTCAACATTTTATTGCTCTTTTCGGGTGGTAGAGGAGGTGTCAATAAAAAATTATTAAAACTGCTGTTCTTAGCGAATACAAATTAAAATTTGCGTCTAGATTATTGTTATTTTATATTAATTTTAAGTTTCCAAGTAAAAACTAAAACTGACATGTGAACTCCTTCCGTTATTCTGTAGATTGTATGTCCTAACTAACGTCATCCGGAAAAAAAAGGAAGAAAACAGTGTTGCTTTCACTCTTTGGTAATTTGTATTTTTTGTAAGGGAACGTGAGGTAATTTGACAAAAGTTGCAAGAATCATATTCATTGAACCAAAATTCAATTGTCGCAAGAATGCACGAAAAAACAAAATAGGAGAAGAGTTAAATGAAGTTTAGCACTCTGTACAAGACGTTTTTCAATACGATCAATGTACTATCGTAATATACTGAAATTTATTACACTCAGTTTATATTTAACTTTCCTATTTTTCCAAAATTTTCAAACGGACTATTTTATGCATGATGATAACAAAAATAGAATTAAATTACTATGAATGTGAAACAATTTTTTCTGATTGTGCATTTTTTTTAACACTCGATATATTCTTTTGTTTGAGAACAAATCGTTTCATTCATGCCAGTAGTGATACAGAGGCCCCAGAATGATCTCGTGAACGGTGTTGCAAAATACTTAAGTTGGGAACTTAAATAAGTTGTGAAATTGAGCGGTGGCAACTTTTAAAGTTTTACCGCGTTTGCATTTACTTTTGTTTTTTGTAAATAAAGTTGTAGTATAGTCAGCAGTGTTGTCGTTTTTTGCTCATCTCCTCTCCCCCGAAAACCCCCAAACACGTCCAAACGCTCAGCTCCAAATGGATCGTTCAGTCACAAAACTCCGAAAATTTCAAAAAAATCGATTGCCCACGCGGGAATATTTATTATGGTAGGATGCCATTTTTGTTTATTTTTTGTGTATCCTTTATTTGCAAAAATGTTTTTTCAACATTCCATGAGAATACCATGAAAAATTTTGTTTGAAGAAATCCATCTAGAGTTCTAACTTGCTTATACCGCTATTTAACATGAAATTCCCTATTGATGTAATTGATAACTATTAGCTGCAATCAAGTTTTTATCCACTTTTTCTCCCCAGAGTTGGATTATTTATGAATTGAACGATTCAATTGTGAACGTATCCTGAATCTTAAATAGTCAGAAATTCTTCTATAAAGGCAAATACGCCTTTACTTTTTAGCTGGACCGTAAAATATTCAAACATCAAAACATCAAACCGTTTTTCCTTAGATGACAATGCATCAATAATTGTCATTGATGACAATACCTTATGGCGAATAATGTATCAGAATGATCGCATCACTTGGATTACACTTTTCAGAAAGGAACTACTATTATAGGTTCATCCATTAAACCACCTATCTGCATAGGGAAATTAATGGAACATACGTTGATCCTAAAAAGAGTCAGATAAATCGAGTCGAATGGAGCTCCAACTTCTAGACATGGATCAGTGTTCAAGGTGAGAATTTAAGCATTCTGATACAAGTGTCTAAACGAATATTTCATGTAGAACAAGACTCACGCGGCAAACTAGAAGTGAAAAAAACTAAAATACTGACTGTTTTTTTTTTTTTTTTTTTTTTTTTTTTTTTTTTTTTTTTTTTTTTTTTTTTGCATTGGTCCCGCGTAATTTCGATTCCCCACTGGCAAGAGAAACAAAAGTCTACTTGAATCAAATCGTCCACTTCAACAGCTTTGGCAGGCACCTTATTCGAACAATGTTCCTTCTCCGACTTGTGTTGTTCAAAATGTCAACAACGTGCAACAGCTGAGCCGAAGAACAGAGATTGAGGCTGCCATACTTTCGAGCCGCCCAGGCACTGTGAATGTAATGTTTAGTGCCCGATTTGTCCAAAGTAGACTTGTGTTTATCCTGAGGAGGTTTGAATTTACGCTTTAAGAACGTTACATAATTAAGTTAGGAGTAAGATTCAATAATTTTTGTAGCGCAAATCGTGTTTAGCATGGAAGTTTCATCAAGAAACATGTATCAGGATGTTTAAATTTGCACCTTTTCCGCGGGTCTGTTAAAGTAATTTGGAATCAATTAGGGCTATTTTGAAGTGAATTTGAGTGAGAGAATCGAAATACGTACCGTCAAAGTAATTTGATCTCCTCCCCGATATGGGTACAGGATAATATCACTATTCAACAGAGTAATGATGCACTAAAAATACGCGACATGTTTTAGGAATTGGATCACGCGTAACTCACCTGTGTAATTTTTATCACGTTAAGTGGTTACGTCATGCAGTGGACGAAAATATGCACTTACACTGCGTGAAATGGGATGCCAGCATAATAATTATTACGTAGGGCGAAAGTGCGATTTCTATTAATGAGTTCTAGGGAAGCTTTGATTTGAGGATTCATACGGAAATGGTGAAGTTTGGTTGCCCATTTCATCGAATTGCATGTAGATTTCTTTTAAAAAAAGTACATGTTCATTATTTTTTCTCCTTCAATTGGTCTTATTTTTGCTTAACGGAACCAGTGACCGGTGGGGTAGAAGGGATGTGCTCGTTAGTTGAGGTCCTAAGAATGAATTGGAATTATAAAGCGCAAATGACGTCAGCGGTGACGAAGCCGCTGCCGCGGTCTCCTATGGACGTCTATAACTCATGAGCCCTGTCCACAACGCTCTTTTGCCATGCCCACGGCTCACGGGTGCCGCATTCAGTGGACAGATAGTTCCGTTTCACAGAATGCTAAATCCTGCTTTTCCATCTTTCCAAAGGGGATCATGCCCACTTTAACGTTGTTTCTTATGCAGCTTTCTAGAGCACACCCCTTCTTCCCCACTCGTCTGTAGTTCTGTTTGACAGAAATACGTCCAAACGAAAGGACATATTTTGAATAAAGAATTAAATGATGTAAAGTCGACTCTTTGTTACAAGGAAATAGAGCTCTTGAGTGTTTCTCTAAATGCATCTACGTTGACTGAAAACAGGCCCGGACTTAGGGCGTGTGCAGGGCGTGCGGCGCACACGGGCGCCAGCCTTTGGGGGGCGCCACAAAAGAAGAAGAGAGGGAAACAAAGGGGGGAAAAGGAAAAGGAAAAAAAAGGGAAGAAAGGACAAGGGGAAAAAAGAAAAAGGAAACAAGGTTGGGCAGTGAAAGCAAGGAAGAAGGGGGGAAATGGAAGGAAAAAGGAGGCAAGAAAAGTGAAAAGAGAGTTCGCGAGAAAGGGGGGGCATAAAAACCATAGACAAAATATAAAGAGAATTGCCGTCTAAAGGTAAATTTTTAGGACAAAAACTCCACCTGGCCCATAGACGCGGTCAGGCGCCCCTTGACCCTAAATTTGCGGCTGTGCAGAAATACAAGAGTAGGCATGTAGTAAGGGGTCGCCATAAATCCATCGAACAGGAGCCGACATAGCATTTTAGGCCACGTCCGCCATCTTGGATTTGAGAATTTTTAAACATAGTAAAAATTCGAGTTTTCGGTCGAAAAATACCCCCAGACACCGAGTTTCAAAAAAATCCATCGAACAGGAGCCGACATAGCATTTTAGGCCACGTCCGCCATCTTGGATTTGAGAATTTTAAAAAATCGACTAAAAATTCGAGTTTCCCGTCGAAAAGCACCCCTGATCCCGCGGTTCACAAAGATCTAACGAACAGAAACGGAGGCCAGAACCGGGGCTCATTTTAGGCCACATCCAACATTTTGGAGTCGAGAATTTTAAAGAAATTGACCAAAAATTCAAGTTCTCCGTTGAAAAATACCGTGTGATACCGCGTTTCACAAGACTCGAACAAACAGAAACCGAGATAGCATTTTAGCCCACGTCCGCCATCTTGAATTTGAGAATTTTAAAAAATGGACTAAAAATTCGAGTTTCCCGTCGAAAAATACCTCCTAACACCGAATTTCAGAAAAATCCAGCGAACAGGGGCCGAGATAGCATTTTAAGCCATTTCGGATTTTCGAATTTTGAATTTTTTTAATTTTGACAGATTTTGATTTAGAACGCGTGATCCCCAAAATCGAAGCTCAGATTCGGATTCCTCGTTAAAAATCGATGCGATTTCATGTATCATACCCTGACACCGAATTTCAGAAGAATCCATCGAACAGGAGCCGAGATGGCATTTTAAGCCACTTCAGTCATTTCGGATTTTTGAAGTTGAAAAATTTTACTTAAAACGCGTGATACCCAAAATTGAAGTTCAGATTCGGATTCCTCGTTAAAAATTGATACAATTTCATGTATCATACTCGAACATAGCGTGAAGGAAAGAGACGTAACGTAGGCATACTGATTCGAGCATATGAATGCAACGTGGCAACATGGGTAGTGCTCAGTGGGTCAGCGGAGGAGGAAGAATAAGAATTTATCGTGAGAAATTCCTCGCGACGAAACCGTACGCTTAGCCGGCGCTAAGTGGCGCCTCCCCCGTTCGGTTTCACTCGGGCGACATGCGGCGGCGTAGTTCAAAGGGGAAGTACGACAGAATCTATACGCGTCGTTAAACCTTTTTCCTTCACGCTATTTTAACATAAGATACATGAAATCTCATCAATTTTTCACGAGAAATCTGAATCTGAGCTTAGAATTTGGATATTACGCGTTTTAATCTATTTAAAATCGTAAGAGAATTTACTGAATTGTCATTGAAAATTGATCACACATTAGTGTTTTTTTTTACGTCATTAAACCTCTTTCCTTCACGCTATTCTAAAATTTGATGCATGAAATCGCATCAGTCTTTCACAAGGAATCCGAATCTGAGCTTAGATTTTAAATATTTTGCGTTTTAATCTATTTAAAATCGTAGGAGAAATTACAGAATTGTTCTTGAAAATTGATCACACATGCATTAGTGATTTTTTACCCCGTTTTTCTTCTACGTTCACGTGATGAAATTAGATCAACAATTGACTCATCGACTAGTCTAGCCTAACCCCCCAGAATCGGTCTAAAGGGCGAACGATTTTATCAGATAAGATGTGCGGTCCTGTAGCTTCCGGGCAATTGCGGTTTGATGGAAGCCGCGATGAGGAGAAACGGAAGATACCTATGCGAAACTCGGGCGGATATTAAGTGAGAAACCAGGTAGGGGAAAGGCTTTCTTCCCGAGAAGTTAGTGCTCATGCCAACTTACATGGTCACTGGAGCATTGTATAGCTGGTTGTGGGAAACTATTTTTTTGCAGCAACAACCAATTGGATCGCATTTTGCAAAAAGGAACTAAGAGCATTTCAATGTTGCTGGGATTGTGCAACTTAGGTACATTCTTTGCAAAAAGTAAACTTTGCGACGGAAATTTTCGTCTTGAATTCATAGTTTATTGGGAGTAGAGGTGAAACTAGTTTAGATGATCGCTTATGTTTGCAAGGTTAGCGACATTGGAATGCTTTTACCGAAGATTTGAATTTCCCAAATTAAAAGTCAAAATATCTAAATGAAGTAAGTTTCTGTTAGACGGGCGTAACTCCAGTATCTCACGAGCCCTATATTTCAGAGTGATCAACGAAAACCAGGGTGCATAATTTTATGGACTTGCGCTCGTCTAACAAAAACCGATTTAACTGTAAACCATTAATTTTGTACGAAAGAAATCATTGGATCGATAACCATTGTCTCATCGCAAATTTTACAGTTAAAATCAACGATATCTCCTAAAAGTGTTCCGATACTTCTCAGAAGTCTTTTAGTCTCACAATTTGGTGCAATATTTCTTCATCGAATTGGGATAAAAATTAAAGAAAGAGTTCA